ACAATGAGAACACATGGACACAGGGAGGGGAATATCACACACTGGGGCTTTTTGGGGGGTGGGGGGACTGGGGAGGGTTAGCAAGGGATTGGGGGCTGGGGAGGATTAACATTAGGAGAAATACCTAATGTAGGTGATGTGGGAATGGATGCAACAAACGACCATGGCATGTTTATGCCTATGTAACAATTCTGCACGATCTGCGCATGTACCCCAAAACTTAAAATATAATTTAAAAAAAATAGCCACAAAACAGCAAACAACAACAACAACAACAAAAAAAATAGGAACGTTAGTGGTCCTTAGCTCCTGCCTCCTTATGGTGGAAACGTGCTCTTCAGATCTCGTACTGCAGGGGGCAAAGCTGATTGACAAACTCCAGCTGCCACTTCTCTGGATCCACCACTAAGTTTGCCCCAAGACCATGTTTCCTCTGGGCAGCTCCCAGATAGTGATGGAGCATGGCAGGGGTACGTGGCTGCAAGACAAGGACTCCTGAACTGACAGCTGCAGCTGGGGACTTCACATCAGTGCAGCTGAATCTTGGTTAGAACTAAACTGCGTGTGAGATTCCTAGCCAACCCTACTTCTCCCACATCTCTTTTATGGGTGTGACAGTTGTGTCACCCACGAGAATTTCCCCACCTGCTTCTGTTCCTTCCCCTTTATAATTCACAAGCATTTGCCCTATAATGATCTTTCCCATCCAATCACATCCTGGCCTCTATACTTTTGGGGAACCTGAATAAACAAAGGAGGTCCCAGGAGTGGTCTGAGGAAAGACAGTAAGTAGTAAGAGGGGCTTTATGGATGGGTCAACTCACCTTCAGAATGACAAAGAGGATGTCATCCTGACGGATAACATGGCATATGGATGATCTCGAGCACAAGGTGAGCTATGGATGGCTTAAGGTTTCACCCTCAGTTACTCATGGTAAACATCCAGTGGAGGGTCTCGTCTTCATCAACAAGAAGATTTGGGCCTTTAAACAGGATGGAGGAAAGAATGTCTACATAAATGGCAGAGGTAGCTGCTGATGGCTAAAAATATTGGCGCCCTTCAGAGACATAATGAGAAACTATGGGATGTCACCAAACAGTTCAGGGCTGGGTCTAAGATCCAGAAGGCCTCTTTGGTTGCTTCCAAGAAGAGCCTCACCTCTTGCAGGAGATGAGCAGACACAACTAAGGAGCACCACATCAACATAATTTGATAGCAAATGATACAGAACTCCAGAGACGATGGCACCCTCAAGCAACACAGGCCTGTTATGTGAAGGATGGGTCCCTGTTTGCAGAAACCCAGGCACCTGAACTATGGGATGGAGATGGCTGGATGGAGTGTAAAGGGTGAGCCTTCCTGCCCTAGCAAGAGCTACCCTGGGCCCCATGCTGGTAGGGGCTACACAGCCCAGGCCCCCACAAAGCCATGGGTGCCTCCCTCAGGGGCTGACCCATATGCTCTCTGTCACGTCGCTGGGTAATGCTGAGCCGGATAAGGGAGAATAGAGATTATATGCCAAGCAAGAGATAGCCTGTACAGGCAGGAGCCAGGGAAATACCCCTGGGAATGGATTTTGAGAGTGCTGGATTAAGGGGCTGGAATATAAGACTAGATAAATAAGTCTACTCGACTGCGGGCACTTTCTGGTGTCTTGGGATTTAACATCCTTGCAAACGTGTTTTTCAGTTTTAGGAGGCTCAGCTCTAAGCAGGAACTCCATGGAGCCCGCCTGCCTGGTTTCCGACCTGCAGCTGACACCCACCAGCCAAATGAATGACCTTGAGCAAGTCAGGAACCTCTCTGTGTCTGCTTCTCTACCTGTAAGAAGGTGGCAATAGCAGACACTTCCACCTAAAACTGTCCAGAGGATGAGTTAACATGTAGCGACAAGGCACAGAAGAGAGCCAGGCACATAGTGAATGGTGCATAAGCGTTTCACGGATCCTCCCAAACAACCCTCCCAAGAGGCCACCCTCCCTGTTCCATCCCCATCCACCTCTGCAAGTGAGCAAAAGCACTGCTTTGCTCAGGACCTCTCCTACTCCTGGAAAGGTTAAGCTCTCTAAGAGTCGCAAACCTGCCGTGTGTAAATTGGTTTGTGAATAAACGACAGTGGGGTGGGGGAGGCTGGGAGAGGTGGAAAACCTCTGGCCTGCCAAACCACCACACTCACATGCCAATCAACTCTCCTGGGCACACAACCACGTGCTGATTTGATCACCTATTGTAAGAAAAAGAAATAAAAGGCATCCAAATTGGAAAGTAAGAAGCTCAATTATCTCTGCCTGCAGATGACATGATCTCACATGGAGAAAACCCTAACGTACACGCCGCCAAAAAATGGTCAAAACTAATAGACAAAGTCGGCGAAGTTGCAGAATGGAAAAGTAACATGCGAAAATCACTCGCATTTCTATGCCCTAACAACAAACTATCTGAAAAAGACACGCGGGAAACCAATATATTTAGAATACCAGGAAAAGAACAAAACCCTTCTGGATACATTTATCCAGGGAGATGAAAGGTGTGCGTAATGAAACCGATCGAACACTGATGAAAGATGCAAAAGACAAAGACACATCTCGTGTTCATGAACAGGAAGTTAGTTAAGATGTCCGTGTTACCCAAAGCCGTTACTGGTTCCACACAGTGAGTGAGTCCCTAGGAAAACGACAATGGTGTTTTTCGCAGCACTAGCAGAAACAACTCTAAAACCCCTGCTTCTTGACTGTGGGCCTCCCTGCCCATGTTCCTATTGGGTGCTACCTCTTGGTGTAGAACGGATGCTTGCAGCTCCTCTGTGCTCCGGGTGCTTCATGTGCATCACATTTACTCTCCCAAACTAATGACCTGGGGGCAGCTCTCCCCTTGACCCCTGCCTTACAGATGGGACACATGGCTCTCCTTGGAAAGTAAGTGCCTGGCCAGAGGCGGCAGGATAGCAAGAAAGAGGTGGGTGGAGAGCTCCAGTGCCCACTCTGAATGGAGCGCAACCAGTCAAATGACAGGTGTCCGGGCAAACCAAGCGCCCGTGTCCCGATTGGGTAAAGCCCAGAGGCCTCGCCCAACAAGAGGCGCGCTGGTTGGCGAAGGGCACACCAGTGAGAAGGGGCGGTGCGGGCTTAGAGGATGCGCAGAAGCCATGAGATGTCAGGGACAACTGTCGCCTGTGGTGAGGGCTGTGGTGTCCCGCAGGCCTTCCTGTTCCTGTTGCGTGGCCCCCTCAGCTGGGCTTGCCTGGGCTTAACTCTCCCCTCCGACCGTTACCAGGAAGACCGTCTCCCCACAGCCCATGCTGACTGGACTGGGGCCATGAGTTCCTCTGACAAGGTGTCATTTTTGGAGGCCGGTTTCAGCCCAGAGGGTGGTGAACAGGCTGGCGCCCTCATTGCAAGCTCGGGAGCACCACTGGGCCACGGCCACGTCCACAGCCTTCATTTGGGGGTGCTGCGAAGCAGTAAGTGCAAGAGCGAGGGCGAGGGTGGGTTTGCAGACCCGGGGGGCTTCAGTGTGGAGTCAGACAGCGAACTGATAGAGCAGGGAAGGGTGGTGCTCTGGGGCCGGGAAGCTCTGCCTGGCACCCCGGTCGACGACCAAGGGGACAGTGTGGACTACTCGTCCTACCTGGCCGAGGAGCCAGCCGCCATCGTGCCGCCCACCAGCGTCCAGGGACACCCGTCCCCAGAAGGCGCCGCTGCCAAAGGGTCCGCTGACAACTGGGCGGGACTGGAGGTCGGTCCCAGTGAGAGAGGCACGCTGGGCCCCAGTCCTGGAAAAAGGCATCATGCCTCCGCCGGCCCTCTCCACGTCACTGGTCCCGGGGCAGGCCTGGCCTGGCAACACCTGCAAAGGGGCTCCAAGAGCAGATGGAGAGTCCGCGTGGATCCCCAGCAGCCCTCCGCGAAAGGCCCCGCCGTGCTGTCTGTGGAAGACTGATTCCACAGATGAGAGCTGCGACTTGCGGACGATGAGGGTGGGCATTCGCAGCAACGGAGGGAGCCAGGCCAAGTCCCCGAGCCCCAAGAAAACAGCAGGCACACGGAGGCCCCGCCAGCAGAGTTTCCCGCCGGTGCCGGGCCCTTTCCTGACCTCTGCTCCACGCGGACTCACTCCACTTGTGGAGAGGCCGGCTGTGGGAGAGCTGGAGAACTCTCCCTGGAAGAAAATGCAGAGCTGGGCCCTGGGAAAGGTGGAGGTCAGGCCCAGCTGCTCAGGAGCTGCCATGGCAGGGGCCCTGCCCCGGGGCCCTCAGAGGAGGAAGATGGCCCAGGAGAAGAAGTTTCAAGGAGGTGCCTCTCAACTGGCCCCTGGGAGAGCATTTCCTATCCGCCAAGAGAGACTCAGCCACTCCCCAGGAGCCGGCCACCTTCCCGACATTCTCAGGTGTGCGGCCACAGGGGATGTCCAAGAAACCCCAAAAGCCTAAGCACAGCAGCCCTGCCAGGAGGAAAGCCACAGGAAGTAGGACCAGGGAGTGCCAGGCTGCGGCCAGAGAGGATAATGACCCACATAGAGATGACATGCCGGGGGCCCAAGTGAGTAGACCCTTCTCGCCCTCCTCTCCCTCTTCAAAGTCCTCCTCCTGTCTCCCCGCATGCTTCCTCTCTTCCAGCACACACCTGTTTACCCATGCCCCCTCTGTCCCTTGCTCAAGGGTTGTCATCGGGAGCCCAGGGACACTAGAATGCCTGATTGGGGTCTTCCTTGTAAAGGCACACGTTAAAGGGAGCACTAGGTGTGTGATGGGCATGCCTCTGGACACTCTGTAGGGTCCTGCCTCCTCCCCCAGAGGGGAGCTGGGATGGAAGGCAGGGCTGGCAGCTGGTTTGGATCGGTTGACCCCTTAAAGTGTGGGCTGCAAAGCTGGGGCATCTAGGCTCATCCACTTCCTGATTCCTCCTTCCTTAGCTGTAGCCCGAGCCACCTGGCAGGGGGCCCGGCCTATCTCTGTATCCCCAGTGTTCTCCCTGGCTGGGCTGTGTCTCCCGCCTGGGGCCGACTGAGGGAGAAAGTGCTAATGAGATTAGGCTCCACAGTCGCTACCTTTCCACAACTTCTCCCCACGTGAAATCACTGCTTGCTCCACCGCAAGAAATTTGTTTTAGTTTCGCTCTCACAGGTTAGGGCTGTCTTGCCTGTCCATGTGTCATGGAGAATTCAGCAGCGGCGACCCCGGCATCAGAGCTCCCCAAATTCCAGGAACTTCAGAGCCCTCGGCCTACAGCCTGGGAGGCCTCGGGACCAGACACCATGCAACCTCCAGTGAGTCTTGTAGTTTTGATAGGGGTGGAGGGGAGAGGGGTCGGGGAGGGAGGGAAACCTCTGGCTGTGTCACTTCTGGGGGGCTCAGCCTTGTTCCCAGGCTTCCCTTCCCACCCAGGCAGCTGTCCCACGGGAAACGGGCTATCGATGGGGCTGGCTCTGAGTGGGGTTTGTGTGATGGGGGGCGCTTTGGAGCAGCACCCCAAACTCCAACTCTGGAAGGAGACTTTTGGCAGTACTGAGCCCTTTTCTGTTAAGTCCTGCTCAGCCACACTGCCCCTCCTAGGGCCTGCCTGTGGCTGCAGTGCTGCTGGCGTCCAACCCAGAGCCGAAACACTAGGGGGCCACAGGTGCACATGGGCTCACACTGGGGAACAGGGAAGGCAGTCCCACAGGGAAGGTTGGAGCTGCTGGGCAGAGCAGGGCCAACGTGTTGCCAGCAGAGGGTGATGCTGCCTCAGGTTAGACACTGTTAGGCCCTTTCCACCTCACTGGGAGGCTTGGAAGGACAGTTTTGTGGTCTCTATCAGGTGACCAGCAGCCACGTGTCCATCCTCTGAGACCGGAAAGACAGCAGCCGCCCCCGGGAGCCCAGGGCTGTCCTCGGGTAATGCTTTGTGTGGATCCTAGAAATAGAGGTCCACACTAGATGGTCGGATCCGTGTCCAGGTTAAACCGGTTCCTGGGTCCCCCAGGCCTCTGTCTTCCACACCCCACAGAGAGAGGGTGCCGCCTTTTTATTGAGGGTTGTGTGCCAATCTACCTCACCACCGGGCTGCAGGCTATGGGTGCTATCACGGCTGGGGGAGAGAGGGAGGACAGGGAGAGAGGGGACCAGAGCTGACCAACCATTTCTCTTCCTCCCGTGACCATTTCTCTTCCTCCCGTGTCTGGCGGTCTAGTGTGTCTGGCTGCAGAGGGAAGTTGAGGACCTTAGGGAGCAACTAGGTATGACGGAGCCCTGGCTGGGGCAGGGATGGGCAGCGCTGTCTTTCTGCAGGTGCCGAGGGTGGGGCTGGGGTGCAGGTGCAGGCTGCATCACCGGGACTGACTTTCCTCTGGGGAAGAGAACCAAGCAGGCCTGGCCCTGGAGCCTTCCGTGCCTTTCCAGCTGGGGTGTGCACAGACAGCAAGGGTCGTCTGAACTCCATGTACACTTTGTCCACGAGTCCCAGAGATCTCCTTCTCTTAGGGCCATTAGAGATACCGCATGTGTTTTCCCTTTAACTGCTGCCTGGTAGGGCTTGTGCGGTTTTTGCTTGGTGGCTGTCGTATCTGTCTTGGAAACACGTTCTGAACGGTTCTGGGTTGCCCCAACACCTGAGAACCACTTTCCCGCTTAGAAGGCATTTCCACCTTAGCTTCAGGTGACCGGTGGGTGAGTCAGTCCCAGGGCTGGTGGGGTTACAGGTTTCAGGTCTAGGCGGTTCCCCAAGAGGACAAGGGGTGGGTTTCTGTTTCACTGGGTCTGGAGGGTCAGGTTCTGCCTGTTTCAGCGACCATGCAGTACTTCACTGACAAGTTCCAGAACCTTTGACGTCAGTGTTGCACACACCATTGCCACAATCCCGGTAGCTTAGGAGGGCTGTGTGCTGGCCCTGGCTGGGGGCCTGTCTCTGAACCTGCTCTGTTTCACAGGATGGAGCCAGCGTCTTCCTACAAGATGTGCAGCTGCTAGCCCTGGAGCCCCTGAGCTGCAGCCAAGCTGGTTCCCTCCGAATCCTCTTCAGCCAAGGCTTCCTCTCTTCCGCTACGTTTGCCCTTTTCCCACCGCAGTTCACAGCAGTTTCAAATAAAGTCATTCTCATATTCTGTGGTCTGTGGTCTGCCCTCTCTGCGATTGTTGGGAGTGTTGGGGGGTGTGGGGTGTTGCTCCGTTCCCTGGCGCTGGAAGAACAGTTCCCCTGGATCTCTGTGGTGGGTCTCTCCCTGCGGGGCACCTGGGCCAGCCTCTGAGCAGCAGCCCTGCACTGGGGCTCACCTTAGTGCCCTGGGTCTAGGTGCTGTGGGGGCCTTGTCCGGCCATAGGAGCATTTCCTCCCTTTCCTCGACATGCCCTGCTTATGGTCCCTCCCCTTCTCCTTGTACTTTAGGGTCTCACAGGTACCCTTCTTCAGTGCTATTCTCCCTCCACTTCAGTAGTAACTGATAGCCTCCTTCCAGATCCGGGTCTCTCTTGCTTTTCCACCTGGGGTTCACTGTCCCGGTTCTGCCCTGTCGCCATCCTTACCGTCATCAGCATCCTTGCTCTCCCCCGTGGCCTGATGCAGGAGACCTTTCCTGCATGGTTATTTCTGTGCTGTTGAGGAACAGGACGGAGCTTATCCTCCCCTCTCAGGGGCCCAGTCCTCCTTCTGGAGCCATTCTGTCCCTCTGGTGCCACTGCGCGCACACAGGTCATCTGGGCCAGGAACCCGCGCAGCATCCTCAGTTCCTCTCTCGGCCATCACCTTTGAACCTCAGTTACCAAATCCCGTCAGGTCTCTTCCTCAGCTTCAGTAGCCAGGTGGAGGCAGAAGCCACATCCCGGTGGGTGGCCAAGCAAAAGGGAAGGCACAGGGAGCTTGGAAGAAAAGGGCAGGGTAGTCTCTTGGTTGGAGGTGGGGACAATGGTCTGTTCTGGAGCCTGCGGGCCAACCTGATCCCTGGTGTCATATCAGCAGCCAACAGCGCCTTCTGCAGCCAGTTGGCTCCATACCCTTGATTTGAAAATGGTCAGCTGCTTTCCACGGCAAGCGTGGATGCTAGGCGTGGCTGTTCTTGGATGGTCTCTGTCAAATATTGTTCCTCCACGCCTAAGGCCGCAGATTTTCTGGAGAGGATGCTTCCGTGTCCTTGCTCACTGTTCCAGACTGCCTTCAAGGTCACATGAGATTTCCTTGAGCTCCCTGTTTGCCCTTCACCCTTCTTGACAGTTGGGATCACTTCCTTTCTTCAGCTGAAATCGTGGGCTGGGCAGGCCCCAGACTCGGGCACAGATTTCGGTTCCAGTGAGGAGGTATGTATAGGTTCTGCCAGCACCCATAGCCAAGACACTGGGTGTTGAGCAGACGAAGACAGGAGAAATGCAGATACCATTCAAGGTTATCATGTGTAAGTGTGTGTGCACCCCTGCATGCACCTGCTGAGGAACATTAAGTTTACTCTGTCCCCATGGCTCCACTATGGAAGATACTTTTAGTTTGTGATTAGTGGTAGGCGAGTGATAGCTGCCTACCTTATGTATTTTTAAGTTATAAGTAAAAATAGAACACCTGTATATTAATGAGAATCACTTGACTAAGAGCAAATAAATACGTGGATTAAAGGCTGCTCAAAGCCTTCAGTTTGGAGAGCTGTCAGCCCCACAAGCTCTCAGGCTGTTGGTTCCCCAGGATAGATCCATTCTGTTGTGCTATCTGGGTGTCTGCCTCTCAAATACCTTCAGTGCCACCTGGGTGGGGATCCCCCATCTGAGCTGGATCTCGTTAAGTGGTGCCCAAGTGTGGGGACTCAAACCAGGGATAAAGAGTTGCCTGAGCAATGGAGAAAGGAGAGGCTAAGCTGAAAGTATCCCGAGTACATTTGGAAAGAATCCCCAGGGCAAATTGGGGAGCTCGGAAGGAATCCTGGGAATGTTTGAAAAAGTCCCCCAGGTGAGTTAGGGAGAACCCAGAAGTAGATCCAGAACATTTAGGAAAATGTCCCAGGGTGAGCTGGGGGAGCTCTGAATTAGCCTGAGAACGTATGAAAAAATCTCCCAGGGTGGCAGCTGGGGGAGCTCAGTAATATTGGGGTAACATGGGACAGAGATCAAGTAAACACAGGGCTTATTTGGTGTGATCTGTTTGGGCTTTGGTGTATTCTGCCATGGAGGTGTTGAGGAGAACATTCAGGAGAGGGGAAGGAGTGTGATGAGCTGCGGACAGAGCTGGTTCTCGGTATGCACCCACTTGGGAATCAAATTAATCGGGGTGCTCTTCCTTGAGGGAGAAAGGGCTGATTCATGGAGTGGAAGCTGTGGTGAAGGACCCGTGAAGGACTGAATGGCAAAAGCAGGCCCGAGATCTACCTTTCACAAGAGGTGCTGTTCAATTCTAACACCTAGGAGGCATGGAATGGGATGAAGGGGATATACCCAAACACAGGGAGGGGTGTACAGACTCTCAGAAAGCTGGAATTGGCTCCCGATCCTCTGCAGGATGGATGGGATGTCTCGGCACAATAATAAACCTGTAACATGTATACCTCAGGCCATGGTCAGGCAGAGCCTTCTGCTTCTAGGGGAAATAAGCGCAGAATCCGAGGCTCCTGGGATTAGAGGAAGCCATCTGGGCCCCAGTGGAGAGGAGGAGGTCGAGTCCTTCCCTTCATTTAGTGCCTCCCTCTCGCTTTTCCCTCAAGCCTCCTCTCCCACCAAGAGGAATGTGGGGCCTGGCCTAAAGAGTCTTAGACCCCCCTCCTTCTGCCTTGTCCTGCCACTCAGCTCGGATGGGTTCCAGAGGTCTGCCGAGCTGCGTGCCTGCCCTTGATGCAGCCACAGTGGTGGAGTCCTGAGCAGAATCCCGCCTGCACCAGGTGCCAGGGCTCCCACAGGGACATCTTCAGATGGGAACTCTCACTCTGCCCAGAGAAAACAGCGTGTCCTCTTCAGACTCCAGCTAGGGCCGAAGGTGTGTGTCTCCTCAGATGCCCACCAGCCAGAGTCCCCAAGAGTGGCTGTCCAGGCCATGGCGCGGGCCCAGGGCACCCCACATGGGGATGTGAGATGGCAATCGTAGGATCACAGTGGCCACAGTGAGTAACAGCCATGGACTTTAGCCCACCTGGAACACACTCCTGGGTGAACTCAGACAGCTTCATGCACATCTGTCCTCAACCTCCCTGCCGAGAACTCCTTTCTCCCACACCTGTGTTTGCCAGGTACAGCAGCCATGTAGGCTGTGGCCGCCAGGGCATCCATGCAAACTCTATCCACGGGATTCCAGGGTGTCCTGTTCACATGATCCAGCATGAACAGTGCCCCTGTGGTTATGCAGTGTTGAAGTCCGGTCACTAACATGCAGAGCAAGGAACAGAAGGTTGGCAGGGTTTTGGAACCCTCCCGTTTGCCCCACCCTGATCACTACTTCCTCCTTTGCACACCGCAGAGGTAATTACTCTGCTGACTTTTCCAATAATCACTCACTTTTTTAAAAGGATTAATAATTCCCAGTTAACCCTCACCAAGATATAAACGTTAGAGGCAGTTAAATGTAAAATTATGTATAGATATCTTTTAAATTATACTTTA